ACCACAACCTTACACCACCTGTTTATTAACATACCCTGTGGGTAGCCACTCTGCCAAATCCTTCTGTGTGGCACTATATATTTTGAGCTGTTTAACACTTGTTTTCTTAAAATAATAATTTGTCTTTTTTTAAATGAAACAATTGATGCCAAAAGGTATTTTGGAGGCAAAAAGGCTTTCTTAAAGAGTCTTCTACCGGTACTCAAGCGACTAACATACAGGATGACTGGGAACTAATTTTGCCATCTCCTCCTAGGTCCAGCCCCGCTCACAATAACAGCTTGCAAGGAAGAGCCCTCCGAGAAAGGTCGAGGAGAGGAGGTGGGGGAGGACAGCTAAGGACAGAGAGCTGACAATAACTGCATCTGGCCATCTCCTGACGCAAACAATGCACGGGGACTCCAGGAATTCCTGGGAGCCGAAACTCTCAGGCCCGCCATGGGACCATTCAACCAGCCTCACCATAGAAACATCTGGGCCTCCTTGACAAACTGGTCTCCCCCGGCAACAGGCACTCCTTGAAGGCCTCCTGCAGAGCCCGGTCTTGATGCCAGTTGTCAGGCCAGTGTGCACATGTGAATCAACACTCGCTTAACCCTTCGATGCCTTGCATCTTACGGCATTTATCGCAGTGAAGTATGGCTAGCCCAAATCTTCCATTTTCAGAATTCTTTGGCAGCATTTCTCCTTACTTTACGCCTGTAGACGGCTTCACAAAACATTTTTTTTCTTCCTTCTTACTTTCCAGGGAGGGGTTCACCTCTGCTCTTTCTTTGCTGACTGCACACTAATGCAGCTGCCCACTCTAACATATTCCTAAGCCTTTGAACCAAAGGCAAATTTGAAATGTTAGCAAGAAGACACATGGTTACACCCAGAGGTAACTAGGGTAAAAATAAACTAGACAAGAGAGGTAATGATGGGTTTCTCTTACTTTACAGTAAACAACAGTCTTCGATTCCCATGTGCATTATTGAGAAATGTTTAGACCTCACCTGTGATCTCTCGTGGAATTTCGTGAACTTTTTACCTCCGAGCAATACTGCACACCTCTATTGTATCTGATTACTGCCTGGATGATCATCATTTTTACTCTGCTCGGTGATTCAAACATGTGCCTGCCTCTCTGTTCTGCATTTCTTACCAATTGTATTATTATTATTTTTTTACCCTATTGGAAGGAGTTGTTTTTTTGTATTTTTGCATGTTGGAAGTCACCTTAGATAAAGGTGTCGACTAAGAAAATAAATGATTGTATTAGGTTGGGTGTACTACATGTGGTATGCTAGAAGAGAGGGGGACAGGTTCACTTCTGGCTTTCCAATGAACTGAAAATGGCCAAAAAAGTCCTAGCCAATTCAGGAGATAAATATAACACCATCTAAACAAATCCTGGTTTCTAGCTAGATCTCAAAGGATATCATCATGTTTCCTTGCTATTGGCGATTTGTTTGATAACATGAAAGCAGAAACAGATTAGTACAGGTTCAAATTACATTTCAGATTTCAATAACATGAAAAGCTACAAAATGAGGAAAGGTTATTTCCGCCATTTTGCTGGTTTTTGTTACAAGCAGCTCTTTGAAACACGGTTCTCACTCGGGCTTCAAAAGTTTGTTCCTTTCTTCAAACCTGCATTGATCTCTCACAGTAATCGCACCTCTTTCTTTTTGTGGGGGCCTGTTGATTCGCAGCTTGAACAAAAGCCTTCAAACATACCGTCTCTGTGTAGCTAACCTCTCGGATGAGTATGTAAACAATACAGCCCATTAATGAAGCCAGTTAATCAATGATAACACTCAACATATGTGTCGGTTACACACAAATACAGTCAACAGGCAGCCAAAATGACAGGGTTTTTGTCTCGGTGGCCATGACTCGAGGGACTTAGCATCTGTAAATATTCTGTAAAGGCCAGTCTGATGAGCCTTGACTGACATGAGCTAATTCCAGCCAAACCACACTCCCTCAGTGGTGTGGTAAAATGGTTACAAATATGTGTACTGTGAACAGACGTGGTTAGAACAGAGCGGGTGACAAGTACAGTTATGGCAGAGGGAATGGAAGAAGGGTTCAGCTGACTCATGAACTGTGTTCTGTTCCAGACAGATAAAGACCATTAAGGAGCAAAAAACGACTCTTCTCATGATTTAGCTCAAGCTGCTGCACCGGGCTTGTCTCACAACCAAAGAAACATCCCCCCCCCCCCTTTTCTTTTTTTCCTTAACAAGACATTGGAATTCCTGCGGGATGGCTCCGACAGAGAGGCAAGGTTCGCTTAATTTAAATCAGCAGGAGACCAAGTTACATCTTCCACTGTACTGAAATCTCAGAGACTAAAATTGCCTTAAAAAAAAAAACTCAGCTGGAAGATCTGAATTAAACCAGAGAAAATATATTGCTACCAGGGACTTGGTTTCTCAAGACCGAGAAAGGATTAGATGTATTTTTTAAAGGCAATTCACTTTCTTAAAGAATTCTCCCCCCCTCCAAGAAGCAGTTGGTAAACACAGGCCACTTGATGGAAGAGGATTCACACAGTTTCTTTGTCTTCCTTCCCCTCCTATCATCAGTTAATTCAATTTGCCCTTTCACAATCTTTCCATAGTGTCTCACCAATTACAGGAATAACCAAAGCTGCAATTGGAGATGGTCTCTGCTTGTCGTTACAACAACAAAAGCACCTATTTTGGCATCATTTTTAAAGATGAAATCCGTTAAATTAAGGAAAGGAAAAAGTGGCCTGTTTTTAAGAAATTGCGTCAAGATTTGACTAAAGAAACATGCATTTTAAAATCAGTTTTAGTCGACTCATGTCTTTTGGCCAAACTAAGGCCACTTAAACATACAGTATAACTAACAAAGGAAGAAGTAAAGGTTTATTCCATGCTGAAAAGAGACGAAAAGAAACAGAATATTTCAACTGTGAAGCCTTCTTCGAGTCTGTGAAGAACCTGAAAAAGGCTCCACTGCCAAAACGTTGCGTTTCTTTTCTTCTCTTTTCAGCACGGAATAAACCTTTACTACGTCCTTTGCAGCCTCCGCATCCTGAAGCAGCTACAGTACCTGTTCGATATAATTAACAAGTTAGTGTATCCGGAAATTCTTGTAACCGGAATTGATTTTTTGTAATCTATATTACCAAGTATGAGCTCAAAACACACAATGTCAAATGTACCTTAAACAATTATATAGACAATCTTTTCATGAAGTATTATTTAATGCAAATCACATCCTTAAGACAAACTTATTTTCTACAAAACCTACACAAAGCCATGTTTCATTGGGGTCTGTATTTTCACAACTTGAGCACTTCTTAGCTTAGACCAATGTAAAACAACACTTGTACACACTGCAGAATTTAATTTTTTATTAAATCTTTTATCAAATATAGTACAAATCTTTTTTTGTTCCCTGAGTAAACCTTCCATTCTTAATTGCTTGATTTGACTGTTAACACAGTCTTCAGTAAAAATGTACATTGGTGCATCATTTAAAGAGGTTTTTCGATGTTTACTTCACTCAGTTTAAAGCACAACCTAAAGTGATTTATAAGCGTTACAGGAATTAATCAATTCCTGCTAGGTGATGATCATGATTAATAATAACGTTTCACTTATATAGTACATTTCATTATAGTGAATCGAAATGTAATATCTATGAAAGAAAAAGTTTAAATAAAAAACAGAAGCCAAGGAACTTAACAATAATTAAGAAGGAATAGACAGGAAATTACGTTTATATTACTGGAAGCTGATAGGCTTAACAGATGACGTGGGCCTTTTTTCTGACAAAAAATGAATGGCACTTCTTTTTAACGGTTATAAAAACCAAATAGAAAAAGTTGTCTATTTCAACCTCTTACTTAGCATGCTGGTTGAACTTCTGTTGTGCTTCATTATCTTCAATGCTTAGTTTGCTTCCTATTGTAAAACGTTTACTGCCACACTAAAGTGCGTTTTGATTTATGTGCTATTTTAGGTTTTTGATATTGGTGGGAAACCCATATGGAAGCACTGTCACACCAGTTTTATTGTTCCAAACAAATTAAGGTTAGAAACAAAAGCAAGTGTGAATAAATTAGCTTTTTCGGGTCACAGTGACCCCTTGCACAGAACCAGGTAAGACGAGACAGATTTTCCCAACCCATACCACATATCATCCTCTCAAAGTCTGTTCTGGTCCAGGGAACATCAAATTATTTAATCAGACAACGAGAAGGTTGACACAAAAAAATCCCTGATCCAAGTCCTCCATTCCTGCTTGAGATCTGGATTTGGCATCCCAAATCAGGGAGAAGTGTCAGGAACAATACTGCTGGATAGACTACATCAACGCAACCTACAGTACACCTTAAAATAAGTAAAGGTGGAATTGGGATTATACACTGCATTGGTTCATTCTAAACTTTTTCATTGAAAAAATTGATTTGTTCCCACTTTTATCATTGTTTGGCAATCTTGTACCTTGAATGAAAGCATATTTATACTGAGCCGAAATTCATCAGGATTCGCCATCTCGTCAAGTATAAACTCTCACCTTGGCATAGCCGGGGGAAAAAGCTGGTCGCTTTAAAAAAAACAAAACTACTCAAGAAACGTTTACAAGCTCGTGGGTTTTAAATAACTAATTGTCTAATTAAAACAGATGGCTTTAAAATGTATCAAGCTTGCTAGGAAAACTGAATGCACAGTGCATATACAACACGCAAAACAGAGACAGTTTAAGAAAGCATGTTTTGACGTAAAGGAAAAGTTATGAGAGCAACTGACATTCATTGGTTATGTTGGCTTATGAGAGTTTTTTGGGTTCTAAACATTCCAATAGGTGTCATAAACACACCGCATTTAGCCACCAAATGACAGACCAGAAGGAGCCCACTTGAGCCTTATGCAAACACACTTAGGTCTAGAGATTGAAGAGGTGACTTTCGAAGGAAAAAATAAGTACACAGAAACAAAGCAAAGGAGGGAGTTTCTCCTCCACCCCAGGTCCCCTACCTTTCTCAGCTCAATGGACCCTGCAGCAGCACAGTTGCAGTAGGCTCTCATTTTCTGAAACCTGACACTGGATAAGGCAGCATCTGCTCGCATGATTTCCTTTTCAAGCAGTTTTTTCTCTCTCCCCCCCCACAAAAAAAAGAAAAACTTATTTTTCTTCTTCACTCTCCTGCCACTGACTTGAAGATCTTCCAGTTCATCCCTCACAGAAGCACAGACCTCAACTTCTGAACAAATCCAAGGCAGATTCCAACAATGCAGACTCTTCCCACTTTGTTTCCTGCCTCAGGCTTCAGCTAGTTTTCAGTTCCTTTTTTTCTCTCTCTCTCCCCTACTCTGACTATGTGGCTATCTTTCCTTGCTATGACGTCGCTTCTCTCTCTTTTCTTTCTCTGGACTTTTCCCACCCCTCCCTCCCCTTTCCATCATCAACACCACCCCCACCCCCCACAACAGAGCTAATCTGCAGCTGGCTGTGCAAATGGAGCCACGGTTGCCACGGAAACCCAGTGTCCTGCTCAAAGAGGAACAGAGCAGGAAGGAGCAAGCTAAGCGTAACTGAATACATAAATAACCGGCTCTTCTGGGAGCAAATTAAAAGCACAGAAGGTTTTCCTTCTTGAAAGGACTTAAAAAGTCCAGTTTTCGTGCCAAGTACTTCTTTTCATTATTTACTTTTTCTCTTTCTCTCCTTTTTTTCTCCCCTCCAAACTACTCCAGCAGACACTGCCAGAGAAAAATTCCACACCTTATCTTTCACTTTTTTTTTTTTACTTTTTCCACCACAGGTGCGAGCTTTTGAAAGGCATATTTGTTTTCTTTCTTGTTCTCTGATGCATTAAGTGGTTATGTGTGCTTCTGCCAGCCTTTCTTACAGTTTTTGAAACCCAGAGAGGCGGGACGTTTATCTCTAAACAAAAGGCGTTCTTTTGAATCTGGAAATAAGAGGTGGTGTCTTGCCTACTTTGCAGGTTCAAACAAAAATGAAAAAAATAAATTTGATCTGATTTTTGGTGGTCTGGACAGAAATCATTCAGACTTTGACTGAAATGAGAGTAGCAGATAGAACTGAGTCTGCAGCATTACATCAGTTATCTTAATTTCATCTAATCAGTCACCCAAATTGAAAGCCTCATAAGAAGAGGATCGAGATTGTTGGGCTGAAAAACTACATACTGTAGTGATGATGATCCCTCCTCTAACAGAACTACAAGCAGATTTTGTCAAAGAGGAATAACTTTGACAAATAATATCTTCACTGTCACTCAACAATAGTATCAAGTTACAGCAAGTTTCCTACTGTACAGCTTAGTGCAGACAGATAACAGATACCAAAGTGCACAATTCATTAATTAATGACACTGCGATTCCATATGAGTAAACTTAAAACCAGCTTAGAATATAGTAACATACATGTAATGTATCTTTTCTTCTGATATAGGCAATGATGATGTCTGCAGTGTTCATTTGTTCTCTTGTTTTGAAGCTTTTTCCAGTGTGTTAAAGTCATTGTCCTAAACCCATTTTTGATTTGACAAAAGGTGCTGGGAAAACCTAAAACATGCCCTTTGGACCCTGGATGAAAAGGATGATAAACTCATATCACAAGAAGGTCACATTGTTTGTTGTTCTCAAACAAACTTCCATTTCTTGCACTCTTTGGTGGCTGTATCAGACTTAGTTTCTATGAGACCAAGTGTCCTCTGGGTCACCACCCCCTACCCAGACTGAGATACAGTTACATTGGGACTAATAATTTAATTAACTGCATAAGAAAATACCTGTGCCTTGTACTGAGGGGTTTTGTTTATACATTAAATGTTCATACCTATCTCTTCAAATTATTTCCTTCCAGAAATTATACATTTTGAATTATGTGTTGCATCTGGGAAAATTGTACGCATAGAATCTTTTGCCCACTTCACTTTAATGAAGTTTGGTTTTTTAATTGTTTTGAGCCACTCTAACAGACCCTACGTAACATCCTGTATATTTTGGCCTAGGAAAATCCATCCATCCATTTTCTAACTGCTTCTACCAATTCAGGGTCACTAAGGAGCTGGAGTCTATCCAGGCAAGCAATGGGCACAAGGCAGGGTACACCCTGAATGGGACACCAGTACATCAGAGGGCAGACACACAGTGACATTCACACCAGGGCCAGTTTTCCTAGAAGCCAATTAACCTACCAGTATATTTTTGGACACTGGGAGGAAACGGGAGAACCTGGAGAAATATCTATGCAAGCAATGAGAGAACATACAAACTCCATGCAGGTAGAGCACCCCAGGTCTGGAATTGAATCCAGAGCCCCAGTGCTGCCAGTGCTTTCCAGTTCTCCTGCAACCCTGAATTGGAAGAAGTGTTTAGATGATGGATGGCCAGCATGTGAATTCTAACAGAAGGATATCCATTAGCATGACAGATCGCGGTTAATCTACTTAGATTCAAATTGCCTGGTGGTGCTATTTACTTACGTGTACATGTCTAGTGCACCATGTTTAGGCCTTGTTCTTGCACATATGTCACACTGTAAAAGCTAGGACATGTGAATGTTAGAAATATGTTTGGAATGAACTAAGCTAGTGATTGATCCCCCCTTGTTTTCTGACAACTGATTTCTCTCAACATCATACGGTCCAGCCAGTCTACTCCTTATCAAGGTCAGCCAGTTCTCATGAACTTCCTGTTGGTGCTGTTCCTGTCAGCAGTCAAACTTCCTTCATTGTGTCACCAAAATGGCCTGTTTGAATCTCAAGGGGTGCCTACATAGTACAATACCACTTTATCCACACATAGCTATGTACTGTACACACACAGCCACTATTAGTAATTATTTTACAATTGAGGGTAATCATTGACCTCGTTTTTTTGGATTTCTTTGCAGTGCACATATGCATTTTCTCAAAAAGATATTTGTTCAATTTCAATTGTCATCAGGATCCAATTTACATTACATTATTTTAAATTAAGCTATAAATGCTGTCACATTCTATTGTACTGACATCTGAAACTTGTTTTGCTTCTTAATGTATTAATTCCTGATTAAGGAATAGAAATCCTAGAGAACTATCTTCAAATTCAAATATGAAGCAATCTAACCTGTTTGGATTAAGATAGATTTTAGTACATTGTCTGCTCCTGGTCTTCATTTTCCTTCAGGTTTGCAGAATTTACTAGCTACTGTATACCTTTAGTTTTTTCCAAGGTAAGAGAAACATAAGAGCTTTTCCCCCCCCATTTACAGTACTTTTAAGGTTATCAGAGTATAGCCACTACAGTGGGACAGAATTGTAAAGACTACTGGGTGTACCACAGGCATTTAAAATAATATTAAATGACTGGAGATAATAAATAAATAATAACTTCATGAAAAAAAAAAAACTTGGAATGACAAACACCAAGGTGGGTCAATTCAGTTAACTTAGAGTTCAAGCAGAGACAAAAACAGTATAAATAGCTGAAAAAAGGTTTTTAGAAGACGTGTTGTGTCACTGTATTCTACAGAAATGGCTTACTTTTCTTCTTTTGATACCTAGTGCAATTTGTTTCCTAATTTGAAGAGCTCCTGGCACAGCAACTCATAGAAGAGCAAGGCAGACATTCTTTTAAGACACTTTTCAAAAATGTGCATTCTATTGCAGAGAATACCTTACTGGTTTGCCTCTCCTCATTTACATGAATATGATCTTTGCCTCTTACATATTTCAGATTGAACAGCGTACTCAAGCTACTCAGTTAGACTCTAAAGAAACAGAGGTCTACAGTCATTAAAAGGAAATTGTAACATGTATCTTTTCACAGGAGACAACGGGCCATGCAAACTTCAGCACGTCCTGTAAATCGAGGTGGTCTTTGCCAAAGTTTATACCTAACACTTGACATTTTAAGAAAACTAGAGATCAAACCCTGTCTCCTAAAGACTAAAAATGAGAACACATCACTTCATGCAATCACCGTAACGCGATATGTTCTGTTTTTACTGATATACTAGAATAAACTGCACTTGGAACACACAATTCTAGGTTAGATGTTATGAAGTCTGAATGTTATCTACTCTGGAGCCCCCTGGCGGGAATATTCCGCTATTTAAACTCTTGAGTCGTAATTTTTGTAAATTAATTTAAAGCTGTTACATAATTTCTTTTCTTCTCCGAGACATCTATTGGACTGATTTCATGAAAAACGAAATGCAAGTAGCGACATCTAAGTATTACAATTGTTATTAGAGTTTAGGCTGCGTTACTAAAAAAAAAAAAACGAGTTGTTCCTTATTTCATATTGAATATAGTTTCAAAAAATGGAATTAAGTCGATACATTTGGATTTGGATTTGGAGGTATCGATTAAATGTTTTGGCGTCATTTAGAGTAATTGATTAATCATTACAGTCCCATTCAGAGAACAATCGTGATTGTTCATGGCTGACCGCCTCGTTAGTAAGAGCAATCAATGTTGATTGGGCATAGGGTTCTGGACAGGAGTGAGTAGTTCCTACAGAACGTTACTTGTAGCGGTTGATAGCAACCTGACTGTACGGAGTATCGATATACTACAGTCCTGGAATCTCATCTGCTGCTCGCGTATGAAAACGGCTTTTTTTTTTTGCGACAGGAGAATGTTACAGCTCAAACATGCACTGAAGCCTCTTCCCGCCACACTTGAATCCTTTGAACACTCGAGGAATGAGCTGGAATTGAATGAGCTGCATTCCCGCGATTTAGAAATGGGAAAGAGCCTTCAAAACAGCATCACAGATACAATACATCTTGTATTGATCCCAGTTGTGGCCACGAACAGTATTTGCTTATGACTTTAACAGTAGCAGAAGGTTCCTGCAGGCTCAATCCGTTTGATGACAACTGCCAATTATGATCAATTATTGGTACGTTTTAAAAGACTTTAGGAATAAAGAGAAAAAAAAACAGAGGGTATACATACAGTATTTCCATTATATTTCAAAAATTAAATGAGCAAATACACTGCTATGTCAATTGAATGTCTATACTATATTCCCAACTCTAAAATAAGAACCAATCTTGTAATTACAATATCCATTAAAACCCATTATTTCCGATGTCCAGTTAGCTTGTGGAAAACAACAAAAAAAGTTTTTTTTTTATACTGAAATACGGAACATGCAAATGTTTACCGATCTTTAAAAAAGTACTTACCATTTTAACACACTAACTGACAATCAATTACTTATTTGTCACACTAACACTTGTTTGCCGTGTTTTTTATTTTATCCAGTTATTCCTCTGAAATGCGGAGAAATAGAAGTCCGAGTTGTGGACAAATGCCTATTGTTACATACCAGAAACAGTGCAGTCTCTTATTGCTTAGTGCGGTTTCCGTGGTTTTTGCGTCAGCATTGAAACAGATGACGCTCCTTGAGCAGAGAAGAAACTACTGACAACTGCGTCAAACACGAGTTGTTGAGAAACCAAAGTCACATTTTACAGAAATCTCTTGAGCTCCGTTAAAATAAACGTTTGATCAAATGTAAACGTCTAACAAATCTGAAGGATTTAAGGGACTTAATTTGACTCTTACGTTATCACATAGAATATCTCACCCTATCCAGTGACTTTTATCCGAGTTGATCGCATTTCCTCTGAATGCATATAGGATGAATATGTTTGTGTGGTCCATGTGTTTAGTTGTTTTCTGTGTATATCAGTGTACGAAGTTATGAAAGAGAGTGAAGTGTAAGTTATATTTCTATCTACAGTATGTACCATACATATAAATGTAATTTTGACCCAAGTCACAAATCAGGGATAGATTCATCTCCTGTGTTATAGCCATGCAAATAGGGATATGCCAAATCAATGCATCAATTTGACATCTTGCGAAATATTATTCAGAAAGAATACTGGACATCTGATGAAGAAAAGATTTTACACAAATCTCTGCAGGTAGGTAGAGACTACTTTTCGGTTTAATATAATCCACACGCGCGGTTGTAACATTTCTAACACAAGAATTGCAACTACAGAAACAGAGCAAATTGAATTTTTGTCATACAAACTGAAATAAAAAGACGTTTGTTTTGAAACGGTCGCTAATTTACCGCTAGAGCTGTTTTAAAGACTCATAGTTCTCTTGCTAGTCCATAACTACTGAAATGCACGCAGCTTTAAATTGTTAATGAATATGTCCATTTAACAATGTTCTGGTAGATTAATTGGTGTCAGTGCTATTGTAGGGGCTATTTAAAATATATTTTGGATCTATGTTTAAATATGAAATCGACTTTCCTTCCCTCCAAATTATATCTTTGAATGGAACAGCTGGCTGCCCACTCTAAAGCATGAAGGCCGTGGTATGTCAGCTGTCTCCCGCTAATTTCTGAGTACACTGGATACATACCCATGGATATATATCCATACGAATGTTGGACTAGTTTCGCAATTCTCAAATTAAAACTAATGTTATGCAGCTTCCCCACATCACCTTGTATTGTCCTTGTAGAGCAACGAAAATACAGTCCTATGTAATGTTTGTAGTCAAATAGTCAAATAATAGGAAAAGGTCAAATCAGCCGATGCGAAAAATGATTACACTGATTTGCATATGCCTTGCAATTCTCCAATTAATAAATATATTGAGTAATGTTAAGACGCCTCCTCCCCTATCCGCTTTTGGTACGAAGCAGCGCAAGAAAATAAGCGAGATCCTTGCTTTAAAAAGTAAAATACAAGCCTTACCTGTTTTCCATACCTCACACAGGACGGATATCTTTTCAATTAAATGGAAAATCCCCGCGCTTTCTCCCTGTCCCTGCTGCGCGCTAGTTTATTGCGAGCAAGGCGCTGCGGACAAGCCAATCAAAGGCGAGGCGAAACAGCGCACTGCAACAGGTGTGAGGCAGGACTGCGGGACAGCGGGAAGGAGGCTGGTCTACAGTGAATGCAGTTTTGTCCTATCACCAGCCCCATATTAAACCCTCAAATTAAAATGCTGGGATGGCTCCACGTAGTATTAAGTTTAATCTCTTTAGGCACGCTTTTTTCCCTTTATAAATTTAAATGCATGATTTAATCCCGAGCTGACCCTGCAGATTGGTTTATGATCATATATTGAATGAGACTTATAGTGTTAGCGTTACAGCCATTTAATGATATTTATAGCGTTAGTAATCAGCAGTCATTTAATTCCCGATCATCACTCATGCGCTATCAGCGGAAATAATCTGTTTTTTTTTTCTACGAATCGGTGGTTTTATACGTAAAGGAACTGACAATGGCCATTATGTGCCTTACAGTCTATTAACAGAGCGGTGACACTATATTAGAAGCTAGTTTTCTTATAATTTCTTATAAGTATTTTTCTTATTTTGAAAAAAATAAAACGAGCGATAAATGGTGACTTTATTGATATCAATAAAAATTGTTTGCCAAAATATTGTGATTCTAGTATCAACGATTAAAGAAACATATCTTACTATATAATTATCAGTTACTCAAAACATCAATAATTACAATATGAAGGCAATTGGAATAGTATAATCATCCATCCATTTTTGTACATTTCATGCTGTTGCCTGCTAGAAATATCACACAGGCCAAAAGATTAATATTTCTATTCATCCCAGATGCATCTAATACAGTAACAATAGATACCCTGTGCTGTTATTGTATGAAAAGTGAATATTGACCATCAGGTGAGAACATCAATATTCCAAACCTATGGATCTCTGTGGGTTGTTACTCTTTTAACAGTACATGAACCGAGATGCAGAGTCTCAGACAGAGCAAATCTAATATTTTCTTAATCCACATTACTATCCAAAGCAGCCCAACACCATTACTGGGAATTTGTTTTTATAAACGAGTCAAATTTTAATGAATCAAAATGAAACATTTTCAAATGTTAATCCATCAGCACAACACTTAGATGAGGACAAAGTGGACAGAAAAATACGTCAGCTTTCAGGGCCACTGCAGACCTTTCTATGGCAAAGGACATCTGAGGGGATGTGACAGAAGACATCAAAATAAGATGAGAACTAGTCACCTGGGCCCAAGAGTCCACAGACCAATCCAGCAACATTTAAACAAGAATGGCAAAGATGATCTAAAAGGAAGTTATATTGGAAAAAAAGACCAAACAAGAACCAAAGAGAAATAAAAAATGATTATTAAATAATTAAGTGCTCATAAACACTTAGAATACCAGAAACAAATTAAACAAGATAGATGGTGCCACATTAGAAGGCAATTATGACTTTATTGGAATATTAGAAACATGGCTAACTGAAAATGATGGAGAGGAATGTAATGTTTGTTGATACCGGTCTGGAAAAACAGAAAACAGGAAGATTAGAATTCTCAGAACATTACCCCTTTCTTACAAACATGTACTATATAAGTACAGACCTGTGCTAATGAGTACATATACCCTAAAACTGGTTAAAAACTTCAGGCATATACCATTGTATACACCCAAACCTTTAGATTTTCATTCAGATTGTCCTGTAAAATCGAGGATTTTCGAGGACAAAAACATTTAATTAATCGAAATTAAAATGTGAAATATCATTCACTTCAACGTAAAAGGCGTCAGTTCTTTTAAAAATAGCGGCCAATAAAAATAGAGCAAAATCAGGTTACTGTATACTGTGTATTGTATATATGGCTATGACAAAGCCTACGAACAATGTTTACTTTGTCCAATTTACAGTCACAGGAGCAAGCAACAGGCGCAAGGCAGGATACGCCCTGGACAGGACAGCAGGCCATCACAGAGGACATACAGACACAGACACACTCATGCCAGGGACAATTTTCCCAGAAGCCAATTAACCTACTACAGGAGTTCCCAGAGGAAACCAATGTGAACACAGGGTGAACAGACAAACTCCACACAGACAGCACCTCAGCTCCAGAATTAAACTCAGGGCCCCAGGGCTGTGAGCCAGCACAACTAACCACTGTCCTGCCCAGCCACACTAGCAGTGTCATAAACCTATGTCTTTCAAATGATACATCATCTGCTCTTTTAAAAATAAGAAGCTGTTGCTATCTTCCATAAAAGGAGAGCTTCCATACCTTCAGGTCTGGGCTGGTGGCCAACAGCTGTAATTTTTGTCTTTACAGCTTAAAAAAGACATGTAAGGAAGTCAAACAGTATTCCCGGCTTTGACTAAGGAAAAACACTTCTCTCTATCAGCTTATCGTGTTACTTTTCTATTTCGGGCAGCTCTATAACCACTGGAGAAGAGCTGAGGCTGTCATACAGTACAATAATACTCTAGGTTCCATCCACAACTGTGCAAGTTTGGACAGACATCTACTATTAATTCCTTTTTTTAGGAATATGTTTTATTTAAAAAATTCATTGTCAAAAATGAAATTAAATGTTTTTTTTTGTAATCCAGAGATAATAATAAAAATGATTTTATTATTTCAGCATAAAACATTTGCTTGATATTTAGAGTTTGGGGAGTATAGAGGATTTCTTTTTTCAAAACACGAATATCAGATTCCAGGTAGAATATTGTTCAGAAAAACAATCTTTGCAAACCTTAAGATCATCTTACTTTTTATCAATTTTATCGTTACAGCGACAGTTATATTCTTGGGAGTTTCTCTTTAATCTGTCATTTTTTATTGCTTACGGTTATGATAATTTTGCCAGAGTTGACCCTTTCTGATAAAGGCAGACTCTTATACTTATAAACATTCGATTACGTGTTTTTGATAATTGCATACGATTACATTTTAAGAACCACTGGTTAAAACGTTAAACGTTTTCTGCAGTTTTTCACTAAAATGATAGAATTTCAAAGTCTGTGGCAGTGGGTGTAGTGTAAAAACTATATGATTACAGCCGGCAATTGCTTCCAGTAGTTTTAGTGGTAATTAAGCAAAACCACATTTCTCAGAAATGAATGTGTACCTTGCTCCTTTAAGGCTTCAGCTGCTGTCCGGAACACTTTGTTAGATGTGCAGGAAGTAGGTGGAGAGAGACACTGTGAGAAAGCAGTTTAAAAATATGCAAGAAGAAACGCGTTTCATCGTTACTACAGAAACTGGATGGTGTGTTATGCCACGAAGAACTGCAATAGGAAACAAGTAAAAAGTGTGTCTGGATGTTCCGCATTACATGTTTGTTGTCATTGCTGAAATTCACTCCCAGTCGCAGTGGAGTGTCCCCAATGGGGAAGAGGAGAGCTTTGGCATTTCGAAGGACATTTTTGCTCAGACATTTGTATACACTTTCTATGCATCCGTAAAACAACGCTGGATCGGTGACCCGTTTGCGCTTGTGCACTTCACACTGTGAATGACCATCGTGCTCCTTGGAGACGAAAAGAGAGGAGAGGAAAATAATTGCTGATGTTTATCTAGCAGCCCTTAAACGCAAGTTAAAGGTTAGGGGGTGTTATAACACTATTACGGAAAAATTATAGGCAAAGTGTATACGACATGTTTAATTTCAATTGGTAAATTGCCATAAGTCGTTTCGGCAAGTTTACAGATGAATGCTCTTAAACCGAACACAGCGTTTCAACCTCTTATCGGCTGCAAATGAATGTTAAGTCCTATAGTCGTTAACCTCGTAGCAATAGCTACATGAAAATAGAATGAGCTTTGAATGTATGAATCTCCCAATGTTAGTAAATGGCAGCTGCATTTTTCAGTGCCTAAGTCATTTAGTCTAATAAATGCGCAGTAAATTACTCATATTCTGTATATTACAAAAGACAAATTCCTAATGCAAGAAATTGTATATGGCTAATAAAGTGATCTCTTATAATGAGAATACGTATTGTGCATATTATGACTACTACGACAGCACAAAAGAGCTGATCGACATGAATTTAAGGTTTGTTGGCAGAAATACAAACTCTCTGTGTTAACAGCACCCATGATGATTTAAACATTAAAATACGTAAATATTCGTTTGTCTAGAAAGTGATTCCACATTTCGACGCTGTTTTTAGCTAGAAATGAACGTAAAAATCTATGTAGCTCGTTTACATATAACAACTGTGCATTTATACAACTTAAAGTTTAACTGCTTACAATACGAATGATAGAGATGATGATAAATAAGGTATCATTTTGAGAAAAAAAAGCGGACACGATCTCCGTTTCTTCATAATGGCTTCCTTAAGTGCCAGACGTTTCCTATTAAAGTTGAGGTGTTCTGTCCATAAGGTCACTGGCTCTCCCATTGCAAGACTTTGCTACAGGCCTGTTCCATTGTGCTGGAATAAAACCAAAAGCCTGACCCTGGTTCAGGTTCCCAAGTTTGCATTATTGTGTTGGGGTGTAGAGAAGACCGTATTTCCTGCAGCTGGTTGCCAGGATGCTATTCCGAAGCAGCCAGCGGCAGGACGGCAGGACCAGAACTCGATCCTGAAGCTGCAGGTGCACCGACTAGCCTACGGCCTGCGCCTGGGCCTCCGGGCCTTCGTCCTGATGCTGAAGTTCGGCCCCCTGTTGTTGCTGTACCCCCTGTGCCTGGTGTCTCAACGGCTGAACTCTCTCTGGTTGGAGCTGCTCCTGCGGGTGACAGAGTCGTGTGGTCCCGCCTTCGTCAAGCTGGGCCAGTGGGCCAGCACGAGGCGGGACCTTTTCTCGGGGGAGTTCTGTGACAAGTTCTCGCGGCTGCACGGGCGCGTCTGCCCCCACGCCTGGGCCCACACGAAAAACTGCCTGAAGAGGGCCTTCGGGGACACCTGGAAGAAGGTGTTTCACTTCGACAGCACGGAGCCGGTGGGCTCAGGCTGCGTGGCCCAGGTCTACAGAGCCTCCATCAACGTGGACAGCGTGGGGGACGCTGGGTTCCGCCAGCTGGTGGAGGAGCTGGAGAAGGAGGACCTGTTGGAGGCCTGGGAGATCCCTGGGCTGGCTGGGTCCTGGGGGGCCCTGTGGGGGAAGCAGGCAGAAGATGACAACGAAGGCGTCGGCACAGAGGTTGGGAATCCGCCAGACGAACGTCCCCTGATACCAGACAAGTCTGCTCAGGGCTACAACGAAAAGGAGCATCTCATTCCAGTAGCTATTAAGGTATGTTAAAAGCATGCAACAGAAAAGACAGGAGATTCTGCTGCTGAGATTGGACCTTTATTCCTAGATAAATAACTTAAAAGCTGGTTACAGTTATTCAATTTGATATACTGTACCCAGAATAACTGTTATTAAACGGAAAATTGTCAGTGGGTTCCTTAAAAGATTTAATGTACTGATATTTGATTTGTTTCTTGTTCTGAAACATGGAATAAATACTGTAAGTACCATAAATGAATGAGAAAGGTGGACCTTTTTAAGAACTAAGAAGAAGCAGATATGGATAAGATGTTCCTGGTTTATTGTGTGACAATCATGAAGATGTTAGGGGTCTCTATGACTTTTTATAGTGTGTGGTTGGTTGCTTTGTGGGTCATTCTAAAGATTTGTTCCCCTTTGTCTTTTGGTGGCAGAATGATTTTCTTTTTAAATTGAATTAACTCTCAGTGACTTGTGGATAAAACAAGCAAACCGCAGTCTTGCAGATGAGATGTTAAACCGAGGTCCTGACTCTCAGTGGTCATTAAAGATCCCCAGGCATTTCTCGATAAGAGTAGGGAGTTATCCCAGTTCCCCCCTCGGCCTTTACCGTGGTCTCCAAATTGTCCAGATGTATGATTGGCTTGCACTTGCCCTGCGATGGACTGGCGCCCCATCCAGGGTGTACCCTGCCTTGCGTTCGTTCCTTGCTGGGTAGGTTCCGGCTTCCCGCAACACCTTATGGTATAAAGCAGTTTGGCAAATGAAAATGATGACAAGCAAACCAAACGGGTTACCTTATATTTGTTCATCAATAGGATTTGACACATATTGGATTTTGTTACTGGCCTCCTACACAAGATGTCTGTGCAGAGAGGTGTTAGCCTTGCCAAGCTTCTCTCTGTCTGGCTGCCTGTAGGTCCTGCACCCTGGGATTGCACGCCAGGTGCAGATAGACCTGCTCCTCATGAAGCTGGGTAGCAGGCTGGTTGGCTTTCTTCCCGGGATGAAGTGGCTCAGCCTGCCAGAGATTGTGGAGGAGTTTGAGAAACTCATGACCCGGCAGGTAAAACCTGATTTTACTCTTTTATCTAAATGCGATATTGCTACCTGCCAGAAACCCTTACAAAGTCAGTTAACCTTTCCACGTGAAGATCATTTCCCTCCACCTTTTCAGGTTACACTATTTCAGTATCCATCCCCTATCTGTGATAGACAGGGCCTTCCCGTTATTCACGTCATATAATTAATTCCCTAGACTTCCTATGCTCAAGCAATGTGAAGCAGTTATGCATCTCCATTATCAACCTTTCTGGATCGTTTACCTCGGTTTCTAAAATGCCAGCAAACAGCCTTCAAAATTGGGTGGAATATACAGTACCAGATGATGCATGGTTTCTGAACTCATGTCCCTGGCGTTCCAGATAGACCTGAGATACGAAGCCAAGAACATCGAGCGTTTCCGGGAAAATTTCCAGGATGTGGACTACGTGAAGTTCCCTACACCTCTCCGGCCCTTTGTGACAAGGAACATTCTAGTAGAAACCTTTGAGGTAATGAAGTTGGGCAAGAAATGCAGAGCAGAAATTGTGGCTGGTGCTTTTCCCAAACTAGACAACGACCTGCTTTAAATGCACACATCCCCTATAATCATAGCAGAGTCTACCAAGCAGAAAGGAAGTTTACTCTGTTAAAATATCCATCCATTCTAACCTCTTCATCCAGGATACACCCTGAACAGGTCACCAGTCTGTTGCAGGGCACAGACACGAACAAGAACACACTCGCACCAGGGCCAATTTTCTCAGAAACCAGTTAACCTACCACTATGTCTTTGGACACTGGAAGGATACCAGAGCTCACACAGGAAACCCATATGAACACTAGGAGAACATTCAATCTCTACACTGATAGCACCCCATAAATTGGACCCATTGCCTCCGCACTGTGAGGCATCATTGTTGCCTCCCTTTAATTAAAACACCTGTCAGTAATTAAATCAGTTGTAAATGACCGATATGCTCATGAGAAGGAGTCACAAAGAAGACTGACAATATGCATCCAATTTCTGTTATGATGTCAGTTTCTACCTTTTTTGTTCTTTTAGGAGAGTCAGCCCATTTCCAGTTATCTTACTCAAGGCGTCCCAGGAGAACTGAAGCACAGGATAGCCAGGATGGGTGTTGAAACTATCCTGAAGATGGTAAGGGGTATCTAGAAGACACTTTGAAGGAAGTCAGTACAGTGTCATGGAGAGATCAGTAGTATAAGAATTGAATTAATTGAGAGTTTTTTGAGTGAACTTATTGAGGAGCCGCTCATGTTTTATTGAAATGCCCCTTTAAAATTTCCACCCAACCTACCCAATCATTTTAGAGTGGTACTAACAGGGTCCGCTTCATCCAGTTTAGAGTCATAGGGGAGCCGAAGCCTATCCCGGTAGTCAACAGGTGTGAGGTGGAATACACCCTGAAATGGACACCACAAACACGCACACACTCACATCAAGGCCAATTTTCCCAGAAGCCAGCCAACCTACCAGTCTGTCTTTGGACTGTGGGAGGAAACCGGAGCCCCCAGAGGAAACCCACACAAACACGGGAAGAACATACAGATTCCAGGCGTAAGGCACCTCTGGAATTGAACCCAGGCCCGAGCTCTGCAAGTCAACAATGCTAACCACCTTGTTCCCTGGTTTTTATTATATATCTTTATTAAAAATAAATACTATATAATATATATCTTTGGCACCATTATGTCCAAATCCAGTGGTTGTTTCCTTGCACTGCTGTGCTACCACAGGTATCTGCAGCCTTGACCGAAGCTACAGTGCCTTCACATTTTAGTTTAAGCTAACGTAATTAGAACAGTTCTATTCTTACTTTTAATTAGTGCACGTCGACATGTTTTCTAGATGTCTACTCACTGAGCTTCTTTTAAAAACTGTGGTGCTGCGGTTGCCCAGGTCCACTCAAATATGTCCTTTGGACGTGCGTTCCTTTGACCAGGTGTTTGTGGATAACTTTGTGCACGGAGACCTGCACCCAGGGAACATCCTGGTCCAAGAGGAGAAACGCTGCGACCCCCTGGGCACGGCGGCTCTGACAGACCTGTGGGACACGGTGATCGTGAGCGTGAGGCCCCCCCTGGCCCCCCTGCACCTCGTCCTGCTGGACGCCGGGATCGTGGCTCAGCTGAGCGAGAAGGACCTTCAGAACTTCCGGTCCGTCTTCACGGCTGTCGTGCTCGGACAGGTAAAATCGCACGAGCTGTCTCGGCTCCTGCTGTCCCGCCGCCCGAAGGCATTCCATTACAGAAATGCTTCCGTTGTCTTTAACCGGTGATATAAAGCAGAGACGTGTGACGATTTTATTGGCATTTTTCCAGAGGGTCCATTTTATTTTTCCATCCATCCATCCATCCATCGTCTGACCTCTCCTTCCAATTCAGGGTCACGGAGGCGTAGCTATTGCGGCAAGCAGTGAGCGCAAGGCAGGGTACACCCTGGGGGGGACGCCAGTCCACACACACAAATGCAGACACGCACACACCAGGACCGGTTTTCCCAGAAGCCAACTAACTTACCAGTATGTTTTTGGACTCCAGGATACTGGAGCTGGGACAACACTGATAGCACCCCAGAAATTGAACCCATGGCCTCAGCACGGCACGGCTACCATGCTAACATCACGCCACCGTGCAACCCTTCAGTTAAAACAAAAAGGAGCACCTGGAGGAAACCCACGTGAACACGGGGAGAACATAAAAACTCCACGCAGATAGGACCCCAGGTCTGGAACTGAACCCAGGGCCCCAGCACTGCGAGGCAGCTATGTCATCCTCATTTTATTTTTATCCTCTTTTTTTTTTGCAAAACATTTTTAATTCATAATTTAGTGGTGTATATTTTGAGAAAAGGCTTTTGGAAGCACCTGGTTAATAATTCGTTCAGGTGAGCAGAAATCAGTGATTATGGCACTGCCCGATTGTTTTGGCATGAACGATCTGTGTTGAAGGTCTTCCTCAGCCTCTCTGTTCTGCTTGAGGTGGAGCTTGAGATTACTGACAATTGAGATTACAATTAGTCAGAATCAGCAGGAATTTACCGGACATTCAGTGTCTAGGTTATAAGTAGGGTTAAGGACATGGAAGTTGTAACTTGCAGTCATTTTTGCCCTGTACACAAACAGCCCCCTTTTCCTGTTAGTACATTTTGCCATCTCTTATCTCACAGTGAAGATCTATAGAGGGCCTCCGTTGCCGCACTAGTCTACTAATCTACTAGTCTTGACCGTAACCTGTTTAACTCCTTTTGAGGAGAATTTGGTCTCTCTAAAGAGCTGTGGGTGCTTGCTTCAGATGCCCGCTGGGTAGATACTTTATTGTCCTCTACAGTGGAAATTTGTCAGTAGCTTCTCTCATTAAGTTACAAAACCAACAAGCATGTAAAGTCTCATGAAGTACGTGAAATTACAACCACAATAAATTAAATACAAGAATTTACCAACTATACCAATAAACCCTTCGCGTTCTTCCTTCTCGGTCCTGTTCCGACTAACCTGAGTGCCCTCTAGATGTGGACCCCTAACGCCCAGTGTTGGAAAATGATCAACAGTGAATGAGGGCCCCTTCTCTTGTTGGGTTGGCAGGGGGACAGGGTGGCAGAGCTGATCCTGCACCACGCCCGTGCCAGCGAGTGCCGAAGCGTGGAGCGGTTCAAGCAGGAGATGGCGGAGCTGGTGAACGAGGCCCGGAGCAACACGGTTACCCTGGGCAAGGTAACTGCCAGCCACTGGCCTGTAATTCCTCTGTCTTTTCCTTTTGTCTTTCTAGCTTTCAGTATTTGTGGTCTCTTGAATTTATAATTATTTATTATTGTAATAATAATGCCCTACTGCAGTGCGCATCCTCAACAGCTAACTGCAATACTTCAGAACTCAATGCACATCTGCACTATGCATTTTTTGCTTGGTCTACCATGTTTTTTTCAGTCCTACACTAGTAGTAGCACCACTGTTCTCCACAACATTTTTGTTGTTCTGTTATTATTTTTGAGTTTGTTTGTAATGTACTGTCTACATTGTGTGATGTTGTCTGTTGTACTGTGTGTATCCTGAGAGATCAACGTGAATAAGAATTCCAATGTACATGTACCCCTCCTCTCTGCTCTCTAATACTACTACTACTACTAATGATGATGATTCCTTAGACATAAATAGCACTTTTCTGGACACTCAAAATGCTTTACAGGTAGTGGGGACCTTCCTCCATCATTACCAATGTGTAGCCCCCACCTGGAAAACACCATCAGGGCTGCCTTATTTTCCTCCATTATAAACATTGTGGATGAATCCTGTATCCAGCCTGACAACACTTTGGAGCTGTGTTTGTCCACATAAGCCAAGAAATACATATCACTTTCACCACAGCAGTGAAAAAGAGGATATATAAAGTATACAAATGCATTTTTTGTCACTCTTGCAATTGGTCACTTGATGGCGCTGTAAGCTTAAACATTTCTCTGAAAGATGATTGTTTTTTATCTCCTTAAGGTTCAAGTTGGGAAATTGCTCTCTCGGGTCTTCAAGCTGCTCATTACACATAAGGTACACTGGCTTTTAACACTATTGAGCACTAAGAACAGTTTGTAATAAAAGATTGATTTAAAAACATTTACAGTTTCAAGCTAATTTGCAGCATACTGTATTGATTATATGATTAATTACAGCGAAAAGAGACAATCATTGTTTCAGTTGGCTGGAAGTGATGACTAGAATATGGACTGACTTTTAGAGTCCTGCTGACTTTTATTTTGTAACCTAGGGAACTGTTATTTTTTTTTCTTTTGGTGCAGAATACAAAAAATAAAGCAAACCTTCATATTTTCCTCCCTTGTCATGCAGTTTTAAGCAAAATCTGATCTTAGATTTCTATGTTTTCTTTTTTTTCTTCTGGACCACAGAAGCATAATGTCTACAGGAATATCAGAAACAAATTATTTCATAGTTACATGCATGACACAATTCGCATTGACATATTTCATAGCCAGGAAAGTCCTTGGCCTGTTTTACTTTGTGATCCAATGTTCTTCATCATTAAAGTACTACAGCAGGTGTCTGTGCAGCATTGACTTGATCACCATGCCGTTTGCATGAAAATTTTGTAGCATCTTTCCAAATCACTTTAGAGGACACCGGCGTATTTGACCTAGTTTACGTTGAGCTGTGTTGTGCATTGAGTATTTTAAATCTAAATGTGAATTTTAGTTAAGTTAACCTTTGTTCTTACATCTTTATTCTGACTTGCAGGTCAAGCTGGAGAGTAACTTCGCCTCCATCGTGTTTGCAATCATGGTCCTGGAGGGGCTGGGAAGATCTCTTGACCCTGATCTGGACATCCTGGAGATCGCCAAGCCCCTCCTGCTCAAAAACTCTGCCTCTACCCTCTGAAATGTCCTGTTTTCACCCCATCTCCCTCTTTTGGAGTCTGTAAAGTGAGTGTTGTACAGTACTTGTTAAAGAAAACGTTTCCTTGGTTGTTCGCCTGAACAAATAACTTAATTTTCTGCTTCTGTTCCTTAGAAAAAGAAGAGCCTATATTGTGTCATCTTGTCTAGTTGATGGGCTCGCATATCTTGAAGTCTAATTGCATAAAGTGGCTTAAAAATGGATAGGTAGATTTCGAATCACCGTTATCCAAAATCCATCCTCGAAAATTAAACGTTTCTGGAGATTTTTGATGGGTCAGGTATTCAGATACAGTGGATATAAAAAGTCTACACACCCTTATTGAAATTGCAGGTTTTTTTGATGTAAAGCCAGAAATCAAGATAAATCATGTCAGACATTTTTCCATCTTTAATGCTACCTTGCAACCGACAAAATTCAAAAGAAAAACAAATAGATAAAAATAATTGTCCTAATTCTTTCAAGTGTGTTCACAGGACACGTATGAGTGAATCACTTAAGCTGCCTAAGTTAGGCAGTGATCTAAATCTGGACTGGAAATTCACATTTCAGCAGCACGATGACCAATGACAATGAAGCTTCGGTCCAAAGTCACACCGGACTGATCTGACAAGAAGAAAGTGAATTTTCCCGTGTCAAAATCCTCATTTGAATCCAGTCAAAAATGGAGACACGGCTTAAAAATTGCAGTTCATCAACTATCCTCGATAAACATGTTACAATTGTATCAATTCTCCCTGAAAGAATGAATAAAATGACATACCTGTGCATACCTGCTAGAAACCTTTATTAAAATTACTGAGAGAAGCTAATTATTGCCAAAGGTACTTCTACAAAGTGGAAAATTCAGGGGGCTGAATACTTATGCAATGTGTAGATTTATGATCTTTTTGCCTTTTTTACCGACATTCGGTCTCCACAAATCAGTCCACTAGTACATTCATATGAATGCGGATACTAAAAAAATCTCTTTTAATTCAGTCTTTTAGTTTTCATCTCTTTTATTAAATCTGTTACTTTTTCCAGATTTACTGTAATGTCATGTTTCCCATTGCACTTCTAGTTGATCCAGACGGTAGCGAACTTTGTAGCCTTGTCAGATCCTATTTTCAGTGTACAGTATGTGAGAAAAATTACCCAGCATTGCTGTCAAAGCTGACACTCCGTCTGTTCTTCAGGAAATGCCTTGAAAAGACTCTTGGAACACTTATGTACTAGCTAGTGTAACAAATATGCCCCTGCGTATAACAGGGATCTCAGCCGCCCAGGCTGGGGGAGTTCTCCTTTAGCTCAGCTGGGAAGTCTTTTCCCTGTTGTGTGACGCCGGAGACCTGGGTTCGCACCCAGGCTGTGAGGGACGAACTGACTGTGCAGGAACGGCGAGGGCGGAAACCCCAAGAACCGTTGAACTAGCAAACTGGCAAATAAATAAAATGACCTTTTTGAAAAAAAATAGGTTTGTATGTATATGTATGTGTGTGTATGTAATATGTATATTTTTACTAAGTAACAAAGTCAAATTTATTCCTAAAACAGACTTGTGGGTTGTTGCGAATTTTATGTGGTGTGCTCAAAATAACAGATACCAGAAAGACAGATACAAGAGAAAGCAAAATACTAAATAACACACACGTATCATATACAGAATACATAATGACATTACATGTACAGTAAAGATAGTATTTACACATTTACGAATAAATACTTTAATACTTTTATAACGGTGTTGAGTTGAGAGAGCGAACTGCCTCAGGGACGATCCGTTCGGAACAGATCTGTTCGGTATTTGATACATCTTAGCCTTCTTCCTGAGGGAAGGAGTTCAAGAAGGGAAAAGCCGGGTGGGAGTGGTCAGTCTCAGCCAGTTAATCTAGAAGCACTGTGGACTGTTCAGCTCTTTCCTCTCCTGAGTGGCTAAGTTCCCAAATCTGACCATCACAGGAAATGTTAATATGCCCTCAAGGTAATAAATACACAGACCCACTGACATGTTTTTGTCATTAGCATTAGCACTTGATATCCCAAAATAGAGGCCTGATCCTGGAGAGCAAGAATGTCTGCAGGTTTTCAAGATCTCTTTAAAGCCAAAGCATCTGAATAATGGGAGCTACTTGGATCAATTATGACAGTCACAGATTATTAAGAACTGACGTTGAATGAAAACCTGCAGGCACAGTGGCCATCAGGACCAGAATTGGACACCCTGCCCTAAACAGTTTTCAAAAAGCGATAAATGCAACCCTTTTCCTTGAATTTCACATATGGCGGTGTATAATTTTAGCCACTGTGTTAATGTCCAAGTCACTGCTTCCAAACCTTACAATGAGGCCTGCCTTCCAAGACTCTCCCCACTGCTGCCTCCATCGCTTTCTGATCCCTTTTGAGAGCCTCATGGACTCTGTCAAACATTTGTCTGTGTCTCTCGACATGGGATAAAGGAAATCCTGAAAAGACAGTTGGTACAGACTTTTCAGAGTCATATTTTCTCCTTGTGTGGAAAGAGACGCTGTTTTTGTTCCTCTTAGTCTTTTCTGTCCTACGGTCTTCCTCTGCCAGGCTACCATGTGGTATTATTTTTTATTCATTTTTTCACAATTGAGCAAAACATAGTCATTAAAGACCCAACCCCCTATTGAACTTTGTATGAGTGAGACAGGCTTAATTGTCACTGAAGTCACTACTGTTGCTCCTTATAATGCTGACAATGGTCATCTTTCAAACAACTCCATACTAGCTGGTAGCGCACACACCTACAAAACAACTTCTGAAGCTGTTTTCTTTAGAGTAAAACGTATTCCACATGTTTCAAACCAATAAACTGCAGCTACAAGTAGACTTTCACTGCACATGGTCAGTAATGGCTTAAGAGAGGTTATGGGTTCAAATCCAGGGAGAAACTAGCAGCTTAAGACATTTCATTGCCAGCAACTACTGCTGCATGCTGTATTGTTGTGCATTTGATAAATAAACTTTGATTTGATTTGACAAAAACTTTTTCTCATACCTGTCAGTCTTTAATAGAGTTTTTTCAGCAAAAATGAAGCTTCCCACTTTAACAAAAAGTTCTACAAATCATGCTATTTAGTGGGCAATTTAAAAATGATCTACCATTTCATTAAATACAGTAAGGCTTCCTCTCCTTTTTTTTTCAATTTTCACAATTTAATTTAAAAGTGAGTCATCTCTTTGAGTTGGATCTATCTAGAATAAGTGACATACTATGAATTGGCTTCATTATTCTGCTCTCCTCCCTACTGATAGCTGATGTGTGGTGAGCGTTCTAGCGCACTATGGCTGCTGTCGCATCATCCATGTGGATGCTGCACATTGGTGGTGGTGGAGGGGAGTCCCCATTACCTGTAAAGCGCTTTGAGTGGAGTGTCCAGAAAAGCGCTATAAAAGTGAAAGCAGTTTCATTATTATTACTATTATTGCAAACCGTAGTGTGGGTTTCTACTTGGCACTTCTCTCAAAAGTGAAACACAAGATTACAGAAGTGGAAACCTAGTAGTGTCTTTATGACTGAGAACTGGACAGCAAAATGGGAATGTGGAGGAGGCTACCCAGCCACTACTCTGAAAGTGGTGCCTGGATTCTTTCAAGAAATGGCTACACGAGACCCTAAGGACAATCATTTGATGGCAAACATATGGGACAGTCATGCCCTTGTCTCCTTGTATTTGTATGTTCTCTTATGTTCTTATTCTCACAATACTTGTTTGTTAGTCCGATTACTGAGCATGACATGCAAAGTAGGATCACTTGCAACACTGCGGACAGTGTGTTTCTGTGCATTTATTGTGTGCATAATATCACTGCCGTTTAAAATAAATTAGATGAATCACAGGAGGCCAAAGGGAAAACCAGTTCATCTAATTTAACAGTAGAAAAATAAATCTTGTGTTAAAATCCATAGCAATCCTACCAACAATTAAATATAGTGGAGATGATTAAAACATATGCTGATAATTACAAATGGGAGTAATAAATCAGGGTTCCCCTCCAGAGCATTTAATATTTTTTGTCTGATTTTCAATAAAATATATTGTTATAAACAAGGGGTTACGAAAAATAGAGAATTACAGAAATAACTAACAGGATAATCAATTATAAAAATAAATATTTCTTTTTCAACTTTTTGAATATAAATTTTTATATACACCATAAATTAGGTGAGTGTTTCTTGCAATGTCTTTTCATATGACACTTTAGCCCTTGGGGCTCCAAATGGGAACCCCCGGCAAAGGAGATATTGGCAAATTACCTCAATAGGTTTACTTCTCTCAAAATAAGAAAGGGAAGCAATTTCTGTGCATTGCTCAGGAAGATTATTAGCACCGCAGAGAAACAAAATGCATTTGAACAAGATAATTTAGCGTTTAAATGATATACTTTTTGCCTTTCTGTAACTCCTAACATCTGTTATAAGGAAATACTTTTTATGTAATGGACTGACACCAGAACACTGTGGATCACTGTATATGTTTAGTCCACATGTGTAAAACAATGTCTTGTCCTGTATACAATCTCCTGTCCTTGATATATTAGAAAGAATCATCCCACATCTCAGGAAAAGGGGGTTCATTGCGGCACTTTGTCTTGTTATTTACCTGTGGTTGCTTTGTAAGACTCCATAGGTTCCTCACTAGATGTTCGGCTAAACGAGGACAAGTTTGGACAGTCCCACTGCCTCCACTCATCATGTGCCTTCTCAACTCTGGGCTCCACACACTGCCCCTGACTCCCACCTTTGTTCTCCGCCCTCTTTACCGCGGTATTTTGTGCACCATGGCTCCCCGGAGGAGCAGCATACTCTCTCTGCAAACAAGGAACATAGATTCACAGCGTATCTGCATCATCAGAACCCAACGTGGCGCCATGCTACAATATACTCTGAAGAAGGATATCATTTTAGTCTTCTGTTTTACCCGATTGTCCTGATTTCTAAGGTTAAGTAAATAAATCATCATAAAGAGCTGTGCATAGCTCTTGAGTAAATCTTAAACTTTCGTATAGAATATGCTATTTAAGATGGTTTAGAATTGTATTTTCCTTGTGTTTTTGCAGTGTTAACTTAGGCCTTGTTGGCTAATTTATGTCAGGATTAATTAGGCAGATGATGGCATGTGTCTTGAAAGACTTGATGTATATTTACTCATTATTTCAAAGCAACCGACAAAGCTGATCAACACTTTTCATGGCAAAATGTCAAAGAACATCCACTAAGAATGGCTTTCATTCCATGTGTTGGCAGGTTATATTAACTTTCATGAACTTCCCCAAGGCTAGGTTTATAAACTTCAATTAAGGAGGCTGGACAAACCCCGATTAAGTTGGAGGTTATGAGCTTTTTGGTGTAACTTGTCTGGCTGAGGAGAACGACAACCTGTCTGTAAAGGCCTCCAGAATCCCACTTCCCTTTCAGACGAAGATTAACCTTTTCTCAGATGAAGAAGAGAGCCTGTGCCAGGGCGAAGATGGGGGAAGAGAGCGGTTTGCAATATGAAACATGCAAGTGAATCAGCTGGAAAATTATATTTATACCTAAGTAGGAGGAGGTGGGTGAGATTAGGGTTAGACCCCCTCCTGAGCTTTTGTTTTATACTCCATATAAAGCAAATTGGTCTTATATAGTTGCCTTTCTGGATCTGTTATAACAGATGCTACACAGCATGTCCTTAATTCATTGCTGCTTTATTTCCCATTTTCTCATAGCCTCTGTTTATTTTAGAGTAAAAGAGATCATTCTTTCACAGCTAATATGTGTCACGATCGCTATTCCTCCTCTTAAGGGCGCTGCAGCCCTTCCTCGTTTGCCTTATTCCCCGCACCTGTCCCTTGTTCCAGCCTCCTTCCTGTCCCCCTTTAAAAGCCAGACTCAGCCGCCAATCAAGGCCCTACATCTGATTTCCACATCGTGCGAGCCCGGGACCTGGATTCGTCTGGCTCCGTTATGCTTTTAACTCCCTGCTCCTGCTCCTGCTCCTGCTCCTGCTCCTGCTCCTGCTCCTGCTCCTGCTCCTGCTCCTCCTGCTGGTTCTGACCCGGCACCTGTTTTTAATCTCTTGTTTTGGATGGATCACCCAGCCATGGACTTTTGCTTTCATTTGGATTCTCCTTTGGACTTTTTCTAGGATTGTTTGCCTCGGCCACACCTCCCCGGATCACCAGCACTCAATGGACATGCCCCCCGTCTTTGTTCCCTTCTCCTGCATGACTTTTCCCCTCGTGTTTTCTCACTATTCCAGATTGTGTCATCTGCATAGGGTCTGAAAAGAACTGTTCGTGACAATATGTTCTTAGATGGGATTTTATGTTCAGGAAATAAGTAAGTCAAAGGGAATTTACGTTTTTTGTGCGTTTGTATTCTTTTCGCTGCTGCTTTGTTCCTCTGCTGACTCCTCTCTCAGACTTTCCCCCCTGGAATCTCACCACGCTGGCCTTCTTCACAGACACAGAGGGCTTGCTGGTGTCAGGTTCACTCTCCCGAGGCGAGCGTCCTTGTCCCCGTGCCCTCGTGTCTCCAACAGACTGGGCCATCTCCCATGAACCCATGGGGCAATCAGAGACGGTAGCTCCCGGGCGGCACTGCGTCTCCGAGGCAGTCCGAGTCCGGCAGCCACCTGCAAACGGAGGTGGGGCACTCCTCGATCCCCAGGATCGGTACCCGGGGGGCGCTTCCCTTGGGAAATCCTGCACGGACTGGAGGAGACTCCTCCTGGCGGAGGCAGGCATCTGGAGCTCCAGGACGAGGAAGTCGTACAGCTGGCGGGGGATTTTTATGGCCTTCCTCGGAGGCACGCTCTCTGTGCGCCCATTCCAAAAATTCACCACCAGCCCCTGCTCCTCACCTTGCGAATCTGTGTAAAATCAGAGGTTAATAATGGCGACAGTGAGGCATTTAAAGCTTCCATTTATCTTGATAACCATATCAAAGTAACATTCAGTTTAAGTACATGTGAACGTTTTGTGGTGCAATTACGTTATTTATTCCCATAATTGAGAAACATTTCCATTACCCCAGTGTCCTGTTCCATAGGAGGCAAAGAGCTGCACACAACTTAGAAAATGTATATTGTATAGGTGACAGTATTAGACCCTTTATACATCAGATCTTCTTATTCTTTCCTGAAAAAAGTGACAGGAAAAGCAAAGTCTGAAATATAATTTGTTCGCAGCACTAACGATTATTATTGGAGTTCTCCGTCTAGATTTTCCTAAATCACTTTTCATGTCACGACCTTCTGGGTTCTCTGTAGCTTTAAAGTTCATTTACTTAAATGATGTTCAATTTCATCAACATTATGCTGTTTTCCTAAGTTTTACAGGTAATATTGTGCATATTTATTTCCATTTCTGATGTGTCCAGATCTGACATCATTAGTTCTGGTGCTACTGGTTCTGGATCACCAGAACCAATCTGGTGCCATTCGTTCTGGATCACCATTAGATCTGGTGATCATTAGTTCTTGAGAGCCAAACAAAGACGGTGGGCAAGACCCAGCACAAGTACCTGACAGGGGGCTTCTACTCTCCCGCCCTAGCAGGACAGTTCCTGGTCCGTACCGACATGCGCTGGCTTCCCAGGGAGCCAGGACAGCGTCTCCTGGGGACACAGGGTGCCGCTGGGCCTCGGCCAGGTGCAGGAGGTCACTCAGCCGAATCTCCTGCAGTCGACCGCCTGCTCTGCTTCTGAACCACCTCCCTTGGTCAAACTCTACCACGAACCGCTTTTCTACCCCCTGTGGAGAGAGAGACCCTGGGGTTTACTGTCTGTCCTTTTTCACCGTCCCACAGCTTACATGTCATGGGTGTAAATGGTGGCAACGTACTTATGTCTGCCGCTAAAACACCTTGAAACTCCTAACTGAAGCTCAGCAGGTGTGAGCCTGGCCAGCACCTGGATAGGAGACCTCCTGGGAATAATAATAAT